GTGCCACTGCTGAGACACTGAAGAAAATTTGACACGGTTTGTAAAATGCAAGAGTTGTCTTCCTTTGTTTTCCTTATTTGTATAGAGTCTGTCATTATGCGTCTGTTCTGTTGTTTTTATAGTGTGAAATCTAATTATATTATAACAATTGTCAGAGGCAGTTGATTCCCCATAGTTAACTTTCTGAGGACCTGGCAGGTTCAATTTATACAAATATATGATTGTGCAATATATTATTTATATACAAATAAATCTTAGACTACTTGTCATTAATTAAAGATATGTATGCCGTGTTAAACAGTATTTTTGCACAGCTGAAACCATACAAAAATTTCTGAAGTATGATAAGCTATCAAAAATGAAGCATTCTCGAAAATTCGACAAAATATTATTCGGTATTAACAAAGTACTGGATGGGAAAGAACACGAAATTCTCATGCATATTTATAAAGGACTGACATTTATGTTGGATCTGGGCATGTGTGCGGGGAAAAGCATCACAAGAATCATCAGGTCGAATAAAACTATTTTTTGTGATGTCTGTTCAGCGAGGAACCAACAAGACTGACAAATCGACCAATCAGCTCAATGAGTTGCATTTAATGCATTTTTGGGTTACTACTCAGTACATAAATACTATATGTTTTTTTTTCGAACAGGCTTAATTTTAAATCGCCCTCGGAAAGACGTCGTGTATTTTCCCATGCATTTACACGCTTAATGCATTATGTACATTATCATTTACTAATTCCAATGCTAACATTTGCCTACAAATGAACAATGATAAAAAATAACAAACAAACAAACAAAAAAAAAAACAATTGTACAGGTCCATTTGTTTACAGTTTCCCCGTGCTGTACTGACAGTGAAAAGACAATTTCACGTGACTATATATTCCTCGGTACAAAAAAGCAACTAACTCTGAGGTGTGCTCACGTATTGACAATGTTTACAATGTGTACAACTTCGAAACATACAGTATGCTACTCAATACACGTTCTACGATTAATGCACAGGAGAATTAATATAGAGGTAATCTTCAATTAAACCGTGAAATAAGTAACGATTCTTCCTATTTTTCTAAAACAGGTTTAAAAAAAATGTAAATTGGCTTTCCAGCCGTCATTTGAAATCGCATCGTACATTGCCGTAACCCACGTATTTGTAGTTAAAACGTAGTAGACCAGCAAGCTTTTCGGGTCATTCACGAGATTGGACCATTGTTTGCTGTGAGCATGCTAGGCAACGTATTCATGAATATTTCAATAAGAGGCGGTTTAATATCCGACTCGGAGAGAAATTAATTTTTACAAAATAATATTTCAAAACTTTTAAAAGTGATGGAGTGGATCTGTCTAAATTGCAGAAATTTCATACAAAATGTAACTTACTGAGTATGTAACTTGATGAGACACCACATATATTTATTTCTTTAGAAATAAAACACTAATACGGCATATATATATTTAATTATGTACAGAAAAAGCAAAGTGGTTGGCTCATAAGCAATCGGCTCTTCTGCTTACTAGCTCTTACAACGCGGCTATTTTAGTTACTGGCTGTAACAGCTCAGCTCTTATGATTTCGTTATAAAACGGGTCTTACAGCTCGGCTCTTACTGGCTCCCCCAGTAGCTTTCTTGGTAATAAATAATATCTAAAGTCAGGAAAGACTTATTCAGTCGCATCTAAAGCTTTAAATATTTTTATTCTTTTAAAAAAACTACTAGCTACTTATCATCAATTGATGGTCGCTTGTTTTCTCACTTCTGCTTCAACTTTGCAACTAATTTAAATCCACCGCTTCACTTGTATTTATAATCCCTGTGCCAAATGACGCCACCTAGCAAGACTTGTACCGGAATAACTTTTCCTGGATTGTCTCATTTTTTAAAGCAATAAACTTGTCATTAAAAGTAAAGTATGTTAGAAATGAAGCTTTTTTCTGACTTTCACTATTTTTTTTTAACAAAGTAAGTCAATCTTGAAATGTATTCATGTTCACTTTGAGGTGAACTCTATTTTTGTTTTCGGACAGGAAATAGCCTTTCAGGGGCGTAGCAACGAGAGGGGGGGGGGGCACGGGGGGCCGTCCCCCCCACTTTTTTTTCCAATCTTACCTATGCTATAGAAAATGTTAATTGAAAGCCTGTAGTATTAGAATTGGTATTGAGAGTAGTTGAAACTGAGAAAAACTAAACCTCAACCCCCCCCCCCTCTCTGGCGAAATAGGATTTTCGACTTTGGGCAACTTTTCCCTTTCTTTCTTTTATTTTTTTTTGCTTGTCAACTTTTTCAGGTAAGTAAAAAAAATCTCTGGCTGCCCCCCCCCTTTCAAAAACGATGCTACGCGCCTGCCTGTGCACATGTTGAACGAAATTTCATGAATAAAATACTTTAGTTTTTTCAGGACATAGTTCAAAAACAAGAATATAAATTTGTATCACCCTGACAATGAAGACCGTTAGACATTCAATTCACATTGCTTTCTTTTTTTTCTATGTACCTGTTGGCTGCCATATTAAATATGGATGAGCCAAAGAAATACGAATGCTAACTCTGGATTCCTGCCTACATTTTGAAACCATTTAAGATAGATATCAATTTGGCCATAAAATGTTTGTTTTAATACAAAGAACAGTTAAATGGTAATTGATGAATTGTCTTAGTACCAGTGCTAAACAGTAAGTTATTTATAATTCCATGTTTTGAAAAAAGGGAGGTAGACAATATTTTCCATTGAAATCGGAATTTCAATCATTACCAAATAAAAAAAAAAGTCTTGGATATGATTAAATGTTCTTTATATCTTTTCTTATGTTTTAGGCAAATCAATAAAACTTACCTCGTAAATATATCAAAAAAATATAATCATGATAATGCTTCATTTGTGAATCGCTTTGAAATTGGTGGAAAACAAGCATTTTTATTGTTTTATGTCAATAAACATACATTCACCATAGTGTCACACAAAAGTCTTTGGTATAAATTTGCGAAATAACATTCCATATTACCTGTAAAAAGGATTTTTTTTCTTAGACGGGGGGGGGGGGGGTGTTTTAAAAATATTTTCCGTTTTATGTTGATTTCTATGGTGGACACACAAGTTTTATCAAAATTTTAGAATTATCTCTTTGTTTTCCCAAATAAGTGATGTTTTAGGAAAATCAATATATAAATTATATATAAAAAATATTAAAACTTCATTGAATGTGTTACCTTTTAAAAATTAACTTTGAGGTAGGCGGAGAACAATACTGTCGTTCGAAGTTCTTTGCTCCAGTGGGCTTTGAAAAATCCATGTGGTGAACAAGAACGGTTGAATACTTGCCTGCATGTGATATACATTTTTAGTGGTACAACAAAGGAAGTATGGTGGCATATTTCTGTCCCCTGCATGCAAGATAAATTGTGTTAACATGCAACATAATTATGTAGCCATGCAACATTCTTATGTCAACATGTAAGTTAATAATATCATGAAATGTACCAAGAACTTTTATTACAGATTACTGCATTCATGTTTGTGTTAATTTTGACAGCTTCTACAGGATGTAATGTACAACATTTGAAAGGATTACGACGATAATTATCATGATACAGGTATTTATTTTTATGCCCCACCATGAATATGGCCGGGGCATTTAGTGTTTGTCATGTCTGTCTTCCGTCCTTCCGTCTGTCCTCCCGTCACATTTTGCATTTAGCTCTGTTCAAAGCTAAGTTTCAAAGAAACTATCCAAGATATTTTTATCAAACTTCATAGGCCATGCCTTCATTCAAGGGGAGATAATTTGGAATTAAGGAAAATTTGGTGGGATGTTTTAAAAATCTTCTTCTTAAGAACCACTGTGCTAGGAAAGATGAAACTTATGGGAAAACATCCTCAGGTAGTGTAGATTCAAGTTTGTTCAAATCAAGACCCTTGGGGATAGGGAGGGGCCAAAATGGCCGACCAAAGTTTTACATAGATATATAAGAAAATTCTTTAAAAATCTTCTTCTCAAGAATAACAAAGCCATAATTCATCATTTTTATATGGAAGCATCCTCAGGTAGTGTAGATTCAAAATTCTTCAAATCAAGACCCCCGGGGGTAGGGCGGGGCCTAAATAACCGACCACAGTTTTACATAGAAATATATAGGAAAATTCTCATCTTCTCAAGAATAGCAAAGCCATGACTGGTCATATGACTACTTTTGGATTAAACTTTTCAATAATAAACCAATTTGTATTTTTTTCCTCGCCATAGTGCTCAGGTGAGCGATGTGGCCCATGGGCCTCTTGTTTAATACATGTATAAGGGGTTGGTATTTTAAAGACTTGACAAAATCCAGGTCTACATTTTCATGAGTGATCAGCGTTTTTTTTTTCCTTATATAACTGGTACCAATAAACGGCACTGTTCCCAATGCCAAAAACGTTAATTTTTCCCAATTATGTGACTAAAAATTCAGCTGTGATGCAACAGACTGCGACAACATCGTATTTCTTGTTCAATGAAACATTGTACAAGTTGACTAATTAATCACTTCCGCTTAAATCGAAAGTAGAGAAAGTCGTAATTTGGCTGGACATGTGGGTTAGACAGCGTAGTGTCATACATTTTGACAAATTGAAAACATGAAAATGTCAAAACATGGGATGTTGATATAAAAAACAATAAGTACTTGTTGCTTATTCTTTAAAACAAGGAATATTGGGTAATTAATTTAGAATAAATGCAAAATACATTGCATTTGTATAAATAAGAGAAAATTCGCCTGTTCTTTTTTCGATGTTATTTTTCCCAATTGAACCGGTATCAGACTCATTCCCAATTGGTGGAAAAAAATTGCTGGGGATCTAGAATATATCATTCAATAACATTAGTTTTCAAGACATTGAAGCTATACAGAAATATATACTCATTGTACTGAGTTTATTTTGACAAGTCTCCCAGGATGTGCTGTTTAACTATGTAAAGCTAAAGAAGAGGAAGAAATCACCATTTTGACAGGTTTGACTAATGCCTAAATTTAGTTTGTTTAGCTCACCTGAGCCAAAGGCCTAAGAGAGCTTTTCTGATCACATGTTGTCCTGCGTCTGTTTGTAAACTTTTCACATTTTCGACTTTTTTTCAAGAACCACTAGGCCATTTTCAACCAAACTTGGCACACAGTATCCTTGTGTCCTTCCGTCACATTTTGCATTTAGCTTCTGTTCAAAGCTAAGTTTCAAAGAAACTATCCAAGATATTTTTATCAAACTTCATATGCTGATAGATATTGATGAGAGCTATGCAACTATTTCAGCATTTTTTGACCTTGACTTTTCCTTTCACCTTGACCTCACTTTTCTTTAATTAGTGTTTAGTTCAGTTTTAAACATACCACTCAAGATGATGTAATCAAACTTCAAACTTCACATGTTGATAAAAACCGGTGAGAGCTAATCAACTGCATCAACATTTTTGACCTTGACCTTTCCTTTGGCCTTGACCTCACTTATCTTTAATCAGTGTTTTGCTCAGTTTTAAAGATACCATTCGATATATTTATTTGACCATGACCTTACTTTTTTCAAATTGTGTTTAAGTCAGTTTTAATTAAAGACATCAATCTAGCTATTTTTCATCAAACTTCATATCTTGATACATATTAATGAGATATATGCATCTGCATCAACAATTTGACCTTTGACCTCACTTTTCCTAAATCACTGTCATGAAGAGATAAGACGCCGAAGAGATAAGACGTGTTTTTTAGTGCTCTTATCTTTAGTCAGGTGAATAGTTAAAATGATAAAGAAATGATGGATCTCAGTGAAAATTCAAATCTTTTTACATCAATTTTGAACTCGTTTAATGGACTGTCACAATCATTTATTGGTACAAATAAGGAAAAGGATTTTGCACGTTCAGTGAGTATTCCAGACTTTCTACATGTTAAACTAAATGCAGAGAGTGTAACCATAAATTATGATGGCCAGCAGCACGAGTTTGTATTATCTGTGCTTCAGAAGATGCTTCTTTTCCATGGAAATAATAAGAAAAATGGTTGCATCTATAAATCAATGTGCGACTCAGTAACAGTAACTATTTACAGAAGCACAAATACGGTTCTCATTCAAGGGACTGGTGCATTTGAATGGTACCAAAATGACTTTATAGAAGAAGTTAAAAGTCAAATGGACATCAGCCAAAATGACTCTCTGACAGATTGCAAGATTATTGTCAATCAACCAAGCTGCACATCAACTCCAAGACCTTCAAAACAAAATGAATCAAGTGTGGAGATAGATTGCCACCAGTGTAGCAGCTCAGAAAACGTACAACTTCTTTCTGAAACTGTTAAATTGCTGACACAGGAAGTAAATCTTCTAAAGAAACAGCTTTTGGATGCACGACAAACAAAAGCCTGTGCCAACGCCTTCACACAGACTCCGAGAACAAAGATGAAACAGAAGGCAACATCGACCGAAGGAATATCTGTTAACACTGGTATATCGCGACACAGCCAATGCTCATTTAGTGTTGACAAAAAAACTACCAGTACATCAACAGATACCATGGATTCCAGTTCTGTATGGAAAAACACGCAACCCACACAGAAAAACAAAATGATGGCGACAAAGGACAGTCCTAATTTACATCCCTCCAGAGAGAGCCAGCCTTCATCGACTCCTAAAGGACGAGGAAACTTCCCCAGGATTTCGAATTCTCCATTTATTTCTACAAGAGAACGAACCCAAAAAACTACCCTGGTCATCGGAAGTTCTATTCTTCAACGAATCAAAACCCGAGGCTTAGATTCGAGTGTGAATGTTAGTACTAATCGTGGTGCTAACATATCACACATCCGTACAAAACTTCAAAGATATGATATATCTGCCATCGAAAATGTCATCATCCAGGCCGGCGGTAATGATGCAGCTAACCTGCGCAACATCGATGCGATTCAGAATGATTTCATTGAAATCATCGGAGATCTAAAGAGGAGAAATCATACCATTTCCGTGTTCATATCAGAAGTGATGCCAAGGTGTGATGCGGATGTTACTGAAATTATTGAGTGCATAAAGTATATATGTGAGGAGTATGGTGCTACGCTTATCGAGACCAGCGGATCATTCAAGCACTGGAATTCCCCTTCCTTTTGGAGAGATGGCATTCATTTGTCTGATCGCGGTACTTCCTTGCTTCTCAAGCTGTACAATACCCATGTGAAAATCCTTAAGCAACAAAGGCCCTCATCTGTGCAAACATGCTTTTACTGTGGAGAGCAAGGCCATTCCTCGCGAAACTGCCGACATGGAAACAAAGTTGTATGTTGGTATTGTGGTGAGCATGGTCACAAACAAAAGTTTTGTACCAGATAGGGTCACGGCAATGAAAGCTGTGCCGGTGATACGAATAACTGTCCCACTATCAATGTCAAAAATTATTTTGATCCTTTGAATAACCTCTGTTTTGACTGTAACGAATTAATTTGCACCTGTTCTTTAATTAATAATTGCTCAAATGATTTAAATCTTACATCAGAACTGATAGATACTTGTTTTGATAAGGAAAACACTTTTTCGAATCTTAAACAAACAAATCCTAAAAATTCTTCTCCAAAACCAGATACCTCAAATGAAATAAAACAAAACATATGTAAATCAAATCTTGGTTTAATGAAAAAGGGCCTACATTTTATTAATTTGAATGTGTGTCACATTATGCCAAAATTAGATGAATTGGTTTTGTATTTACAAGAACAGCTTTACACTGATATATTTTCCTTATGTGAAACATTTCTTGATGAAAATATTAATGATTGTAGTATAAATATAAAAGGATATTGTTTGGAAAGAAAAGACAGAGTAGGAAAGGCTGGTGGTGGACTTGTTACTTATATTTCAAATGATTTGAAATATAAACGCCGTAAGGATTTAGAAATAAGCAATATTGAGACAATGTGGCTTGAAATTAATCTTAAAAATTCTAAACCTATACTTTATTGTTCAGTTTACCGTCCACCATCTGCCCCCTCCTGCTGGGTAGATGATTTTGTCCAAGAGTTACAGTGCGCTACCTGCTGTGACGACCAGGAAGTGATTATTGCAGGTGATCTCAATATTGATATGCTTAAAGAACCCCCGCGGAGTTGGTCATCTGCAATTGTAGACTTTGGTTTAACACAATTAATTAACACCCCAACAAGAATTACTAATAGCTCTAAAACTCTTATTGACCATTTCTACACTACGCACCCTGCTAACATATTTGAAATAACAGTACCCCCTGTAGCGATATCTGATCATTATCCTATATGTGCCACACGAAGGTCTAACAGCATGCAAAGAAAAGGCAAACATATTGAAATACAATACCGTGACTTCAAAAATTTTAATGAAACAAACTTTTTGCATGATTTAAACAATGCAAATTTTGATGAATTAATTCTACTGCATGATCCCAATGACATTTTAAACGGTTTTTATGATATTTTCAATGCTATAATCAATAAGCATGCAAAAGTAAAAACAAAGCGTGTGAAATCAGAATTCCGCACTAAATGGTTAACTCCAGAAATAAATAATGCTAGGAATTTTCGAGATCAATTTCATAAACAGGGAGACATGGATAATTTTAGACTTTGGAGGAACAAAGTCACATCTTTAATAAATAATGCAAAATCTACGTATTATAAGGAAGTAATTGAAAATAGTTCTACTTCAAAGGAAATGTGGGGCAACTTAAATCAGTTGGCCTCAAAATCAGACAAAAACTCATCTCCTTCCAATATAACATATAACGGTCTAGATCTTGATAATCTACAAGATATTGCAAATGCATTTAATGAGCATTTTGCCCAAATTCCAAAAAAATTAATAGATAATCTTTCGTTTACTGCTTTCAAATCAGAAAAATTGAAAAGATACACGGAGACAAAACTTGGAGATCAAGACATTTTTGAAATCCCTTTGATTAATGAAGAAAAGGTATTCGAAATGTTAAAAAGACTTGATGTAAACAAATCTGCTGGTATAGACTTTCTTGGACCTAGATTGCTGAAACTGTCAGCTAGTATAATATCCAAACCTCTAACACACTTGATAAATTCTAGCATAATCAATGCATCTTTTCCTCCACAATTAAAGGTCGCAAAAGTAACCCCCTTGTTTAAAAAGGGCGATAAATCAGACCCAGGAAACTATCGTCCAATCTCGATTTTACCAACGATATCGAAAGTTTTAGAGAAGCATGTAGCAGAAAATATACGCATCTTTACTTCTCACTTTGACTTGCTAATGAAAGCACAATCTGGATTTCGAGAACTTCACTCATGCCAGACAGCTCTCACAAAACTAACTGATGATTGGTTGCATGCAATAGATAAAGGAAATTTTGTAGGTATTACATATCTGGATTTTAGCAAAGCATTTGATCTTGTTAATCATGATATACTAATTAAAAAACTTGAATGCTATCACTTTGATCCAATATCAATTAAATGGTTTAAATCATACTTATATAATCGAACTCAAAGTGTTAAAATTGGTGCGTACACATCTGAATCACTGCCAGTCACAGCAGGTGTGCCTCAGGGCTCTATTTTAGGTCCTTTGTTGTTTCTATTGTATATTAACGATTTACCATTGTCTGTTGAACATTGTAATATTGATATGTTTGCTGATGACACTACAATGCATCTTCATGATAATGGTATTTCGCGTATTGAAACCACTCTTAATCATGAACTCTGTCAAATACAAAAATGGTGTCAACAAAATCAGATGATTATAAATACTGATAAAACAAAGTGTATGTTAATGGGAACACACCAAAAGAAATCTAAATTAGAAAACGTTAATTTTCATTTACAACTTTCCGATCATCCCCTTGAAAATGTAAAAATGCAAAAATTATTAGGTGTTCACATTGATCATAATCTTCAATATACTTGTCATGTAGATGCAGTTTGCAAAACTCTTACATATAAATTATTTACTTTACGAAAAATCAAAAAGTTT